TGATCAATTTCATTCCCCAGTGCCCCCGCCCCCCTTCCTGTATCCTATTGGTCTCCCTTCTACTTTCATGACATCCCATCCCCCCCAACCCTGCCCTTTTTTTCCCCCTCTCCATCCTCCACATATGAGAGAAAACATAAGATGATTTGCTCTCTGAGTCTGGCTTATTTTGGCCTCTATTCGTCCATTTTCCAGCAAATGACACAATTTCATTCTTTGTGGCTGAATAATACTCCATTATGTATATATACCACATTATCTTTATCCATCCATCTGTTGATGAACACCTGGGCGAATTCCATAACTTGGCTATTGAGAATTATAATACCTTCAAGGTCTTTGCTGATATTCTTTGCTTTTATTCCTACTAATGGTAATTCATGTGTTTTCTCTTGTTAATCTGTTTTTCAAGAGGGTTATCAATTCTACTAATTTGTTAAAAGACCCTATGTTTGTTTTTGTTGATTTTATCTCTCCATTGAACATCTGCTATTTTTCATTAATTTCTACTCTTAATTTTTCTTCTACTTAATTTTTAAAGTACATTGTTGCCTGTGTTGAATGCTTAGCTCATGGATGTTCAGTCTTTCTTCTATAATATTTGTATTTAAAGGCATTGGTTTCTCTTTAAGTACTGTTCAACACAAAAATGTTTTCTAATTTCTTTTATGAACCTTCTTTGAATCATAGGGTACTTACAAATGTATGCTTAACTTCCAATTATTTGAAAGTAAAAATTATTTATTAGGGGGCTGGGGTTGTGGCTCTGCGGTAGAGTGCTCGCCTAGCATGTGTGAGGCCCTGGGTTTGATCCTCAGCACCGAGTAAAAAATAAATAAAGATATTTAAATATAAAAAAATTATTAATTTGAATTCTAATTTGATTTTAATTCTGCCAAAGGATACACTGTATAATTTAAATTTCTTGAAAAACTTGAGACTTAAAGACCCCAAACTTGATCTATTTTGATAAAGATGCCACTTGTACTTGGAAACTGAGTATTGAGTAGTATTAATTAGGTCAGATTGCCTACTTACCTTGTTTAAATATCTTTAGTAGTTTTGTGTCTGCTTCATCTGTCAGTTACCGAGGAGGTCTATTAAAACATCCAAGTCCAATTATGGATTTGTGTATTTCTTCTCTTATTTCTGTCGTTAAATAATTAGGTGCACTCAGATTTAACATTATCATAGGGAACTTTTCGTTTGGTTAATGTTTGGATGGTATATATTCTACTTTTAAAAACTTTCAAAGTTTTTGTTTAGAATATATATCTTGTAAGCATTCATAGCTATGTCTTTAAAAAAATCTAGTGTTGTAATCTTTGCCTTTTAATGGATGTTTTAGCCCATTTCCTTTTAGTGTAATTATCGATATAATTGAATTTCAATCTTCAAGGTTGCTATTTTTTTCTATTTGTCCCATCCACTCTTTGTTCCTTTATCTTGTTATTCTTCTTCCTCCTTGCCCTAATCAAGCATTTTAAATTATTCAATTTAATCTTCTCTATTATCTTTTCCTAGGTTATCTTTTACTATCATTATTTCATTATTTTAGGCATTAGATATCTTTAACTATCATAGTCTATTTTAAATTTATGGTTCTATGTCCCAAAGAATGCATGAATATAACAACATTTTAATGACATTTAGTTTCATCTCACTCTTTTGGTTATTGTATTTGTTCTACACACACAGAGAGACATATATACATACATACAAAAATGCTGGAGTATCTATAAAAACAAGTTGTGCCATTTCTGAGGTAGCCTCCGAATGCTAGATGATAAAGAAAGTACCTCTCCTCAGATTGTGTTTTCAAAGTAGGTGTAAGGGCAAATCTGATATCAGTTACTCCACATTGGACCTAGTTATAAGTCCTAACATATGCTATAAATTTTAGTCAAAAATCTATATGATTTAAAAATTTCCTAGAAAGATACATGTAGAATTACTCTTTTTATATCCTGAAATAAAAATCACATATAATAAGACTACATAACTTAAAAGAAATCAACATAATGCTTATTTGTAATGTAAAAGGCAAATAAAATCAATTTGTAATAATTATCTACTTGATTATATAAAATTTTAGGTCAAAATGTATTAGAAGATGTAACAGATTTCTTCTGTACATTTTTATAATAATAGCTTTGTGTTTAAAAAAAGATTAGAAGTCAAATGACAGTGTCATTTGACATGTTATTACATGGACAGGGAAATTAAAAAGTACCTCATGAAATGCTTATCTTCTAAGAGATCCTATCAGATGCTGAAATATGAACACATGTTCATATGTTGACTGTATGTTCAATTTCTAGTACTTACCATGGTCTTGGATGCTGGTGTCTTCAAACCTCAATGGATATTGATGTGGGATTGGAAGAAGAAATAGTCACGTGCTGCATAATGACATTTTTGGTAGAGACAGAATACATATGAAATTATAACAGAGCTGGGAAATTTCCGCTGCCTAGTGACTTCACACCTGTGGTAACGCAATTCTGACATGTTTGTGGTGGTGTGGGTATAAAAACTACTGAGATACCAGTTGTAGAAAAGTATAGCATGCACAATTTCAGCACGTTATACTTGATAATAAATGACCACTTTACTGGTTTATGCAATTGCTGTATTATACTTTTTATCATTATTTTGGCTAAGTGAAAGACAGCTTCAGCCAGGTCTCTCTTAGAGCATTCCAGAAGCAGGCATTGTTACCACAGGAGATGGTGGATTTGTATGTGTTTTTGCTTCAGTGGGAGAAGATGTAGAAGACAATGCTATTGGTAATCCCGACCTTGTGTATGCCTAGGCCAATGTGTGTGTTTGGATCTTAGTTTTTAATAAAAATGTCCCCAAACAAAAAGTTTTATTCTTAAACCAGAAAAAAACTTATAGAATAAGTATATAAAGAAAATATTTTTGTACAGATGTACAATGAATTTGTGTTTTAAGTTGTGTTAAGAGTTAAAAGTTAAAAAAAAAAAATCAGGCACTATGGTGCACGCCTAGAATCCCAGAGATTTGGGAGGCTGAGGCAG